CTAACCCTAGCCCTATCGCTATCCCTAACCCTAACCCTAACCCTAGCCCTAGCCCTAACCCTAACCCTAGCCCTAACCCTAACCCTAACCCTATCCCTATCCCTATCCCTAACCCTAACCCTAGCCCTAGCCCTAGCCCTAGCCCTAGCCCTAGCCCTAACCCTAACCCTAGCCCTAACCCTAACCCTATCCCTAACCCTAACCCTAACCCTAACCCTAACCCTAACCCTAACCCTCCACAGCTGCCCCCAGTTAAAAGCCCATGGGCTCTTCAGCTGGGATGCTCAGCAGAGGCTCCTACACTCTGGCCTGAGGGCAGGGGCCCAGGGAGGGAGGGAATCAAGGATGCGATGGACAACAGAAGTTTGGGGTTTCATTTGGGGTTTCATTGTGTTGCTCTTTTGAGCAGTTTTCGTTTGGGTGGGTTGTTTGTGGTTTGTTTTGTTTATTGTTGGTTTTGGGTGGCGGGGGGAGGTGTACTGAGGGGACTGGGTTCTGGGGAAGAGAGAGAACAGCATGGAAATATTTCTCTGGGTTCGGGAGACGCGCCTTCGGATGAGCGTCCATTCTCCCTTTGGTTCAAGTGTGAACTGTTATTGGAAACCGTGCAGGAGGAGGCGGTTCCCGTGAGGGTGGGGAAGCCTCGACAGCGGCCTCCTCTTCCTGGAACCCTGCCGTGTCCTGGAGGCCCCCGGCTGGCGGAAGCCCCGACCCCGAGGGCGGCCTCCCTCCCTCAGCGCTGAGTCTATGATCAATCGATCGATCGATCGATTGGGAAAGGCAGCCACGCTTCCTCCCCGGGGCTGCTTCCTGTGGAAAAGGGCTTGGGGCAGAGAAGCCCTGGGGTTTAATACCAGGTCAGGTCTGACCCCCCCTCCCCCCAGGGCTTTGCTTTGGGTTTTGGGGCCAGTCGGCACCTCTAGGCTCGCAGCGCCTGTGTCTGGAGCTGGCCTCTCAGGACGATGGCCCACAGGAAGGGGCCTGTCCCCACGTGGCCTCCGCCCAGGCAGCGGCGACATCGGCCTCCACCGTCTCGGCTCCTCTCTGCGCCCAGGACTCGGTCACAGACAAGGCGGGTCCATGGCCAGACCCAGAAACACCCAAACGCAGCGGCTCCGGAGCAGGTTCAAGACGCCCAGCGAGGCCGAGGCCGGGGTGGGGCCTCGGGCGGAGCTTAGCCCCAGAGCAGAGGGGACAGGGCTGGTGTCGGGTGTCCCTGCCCCGTCCCCAGTAGCCTCGCTTTCTCCACTTCTAGAAAGTTCTCCTGGAGAGCTGCCCCTGGGCCACGGGCTGGTGGGGACGTGGCGGGAGAGGGGAGAGCTGAGGACCGGGAGCGCCCGGAGGGACCAGGGCATGTTCAGGGCTGAGGGGCGGCAGCAGGCAGGGAGTGTGGCGGGAGCGGGGAGCGGGTCCTGGGGGAAGGCTGGTCTGGGCCCTGGTCCCCTGGAGCAGGAGACACCCAGCTCTAACAACGCCGTACATTGCACCCGGAGCTCCCTTCCGGCGTCTGAGCAGGAACCCGTCCCACGGAGGCGGAGGCGCAGCGTCAGCAGAAGGGGGAGCGCGGCTTTCCTGGGGGGGGGGGTCACACCCAAGCGCCTCATGAGCACCTCCTACAGGCCTCCCTCCTGGCGGCCTCGGGCCCCGCCCTGCACCTCAGTCGCAGCGAGGACAGGACACACGTCCACCCTGGAAGGCGGTCGCTGGCCTCTGGCCCCTGGGCACCCGGCCCGCACGCAGACAGGACGCCTGGACGCATGGGGCTGCCGAGCTGAGAAACGCCCCCTGACCCGGCCCAGCCCGGGCGGCGGCGCAAGGACCAGCGACCTTCGTGACCCCGTCCTCCCAGCCCTCGCACAGACCACACACACTCCTGACAACTAGCCCCGTCGCTACGGACGTTTCCACAAAACAAGGAGCCCCACGCACCGCGGGACGTTGCTACTTTACAGGCCGCAAACCCCCTTTAAACGGCGGCCCAGCCACGGAGCCCTGAGCCCCCAGGCCTCGGAGCTCTTTCCCCCAGAAATCCGTTCTCTTGTTTGAGACAAACGAGCGCACATGTCTGCGTTTATTATGATACATGCGGCTCACAAGGTGACCCCGCGAGTCAGAGCTACAGGGGCTCCCAGCGAGGTGGGTGCAGGCGTGGCTGCCTGAGCGGGACCCTAGATACGGGCCGCGGGGAGGCACGGACACGGGGAACCGCCCGTGGCGAATGGAACACGCACCTCTCCCCCCGCACCCGGCGGACATGTCTACCCCGCCTCCTCCAGCGGGGTGTCCCCGTCCCACCCAGGTGCCTCCTGACCCTCCGGTCGCTCCTGGTCTGATGCAGAGCCAGGCCCGCAGGCCCCACTGCCCACAGGCCCCACTGCCCACAGGCCCCACTGTCCGCAGGGCCCACTGTCCGCAGGGCCCCCACTGTCCGCAGGCCCCACTGTCCACAGGGCCCACTGTCCGCAGGCCCCACTGTCCACAGGGCCCACTGTCCGCAGGCCCCACTGCCCGCAGGCCCCACTGTCCGCAGGGCCCCACTGTCCGCAGGGCCCCACTGTCCGCAGGCCCCACTGCCCACAGGCCCCACTGTCCGCAGGGCCCACTGTCCACAGGCCCCACTGTCCGCAGGGCCCAGTGTCCGCAGGGCCCAGTGTCTCGATGGGAGCAGAGACATGCAAATGGCTGTCTGCACAGAGGCCGCCTGGCGCGGAAACGGGACAGTCTGTGACCCCGTCCAGGGCAGGAAGGTTACAGCAAGCGCGTGTGTCCTGGGACTCGGCTCCCAAC